ACTCAGAGAACGTAATGAAGTATCTTTACTAGGCAACGTAGTTTTACCTGCAAACATCTTACTTGCCGCATCGTCTTTCGCTCTAAGTACCTTTATACACGTATATCACAAATATAAGAAGTTTAATAGGAAAGTCAATGTAGAAATGTTGCTTCGGGAGATGAAAAGTATAGATGGAATGATAGTAGAAAGTAGACGGAGAGCAGTATGTTGTTCGTAATGTATATATGTAATATATATTCTATTATTCATAGAATGAATTCATGAGAACATCGTAACGTATTACGAGTACATTGGTTTTCTTCAGTCTTCCCAGAAAAAATAATGGAAGTTACTCAAAACTTCTCCAGACCCAAGGTTTCAGAAATCAATTTACTGGCCTAGCTAATGCCTCGTAGACCAGAAGAACATAGTGGAGCATCGCTTTATGCCTATAAAATGAATAATAGAATATATATTACATATATTCTACATGCTATATGCAAAGTGTAACTGAAAGGTGGAGATACGTATACATTAGAGTACAAGTTCCTCATACCAAAAACGAGAAATAATGCCCATATCAACATGTGTCCGGAAACATTTAATTTGTGAGTTATAGTTGGGAGGGTATGTTTATAATAAGTCCTCAAAATATCCTGCAGGAGAGACAATGCATGCCTCGACGGGTCCCCTTATGGACAGGCGCATTCGTTCGAAGATGCCGGGGTAGGTGTGTATAGTCCGACAGGCATCCACAGTGCGACGGTGAAATGCCTCTTCGTTGTCAACAGGAGATTCATAAACAAAGATATTCAGGTGCCCCGACAGGTAAAAATCTAGAGGAATGAAACCTGCCAATCGTGAAGTCCATGCAGTGGATTCACCTCTACCTATCCATCGCTCGTGATAGGTGCTATTGAAAACATCTCGCTCAGCACGGCTGAAATGTGCCGGAGCACCATCATGCATGCACCAGATCCATGCTCTGACTGCCGGTGATACATCTTCCAATAGCTTTGGGAAGCTCATGTAAGAGGAATTCTCGGTCTTCTCGGTGGTGGTTGCCTGTAAGTCGATATGGCAAAACAGGAGAGCATACGAAATAATCACCAAAAAAAGTTGATAACAACAATTGAAAAGGTCACAACAGTATTTTTTCATCTACGGCTCACAAATGAAGTTTCCGGACATATGTTGACATGGACATTTTTCTTGTTTTGGTATGTGGAACTCGTGCCAAAAGTTTTCTGCTTGCTTCAGTTACAACCTATATATACACATCACATCCCTCCCCAGTCATACGCGTTACATTCCTGAAAAAATGGGGCTGTTGGCAAAATTGCCGTTGACAGCACATCTTATTGACAATTGAGGGAATATTAGCCGCTGATAATATCAATCAGAATTGAAATGAGCTGCTTCTTCATTCATTAAATGCAAAAACAGCGCAAATAATAAGATATTTGAAATAAAAAAAGAAAACGCAATACAACAATAATTTGCACGGTATAAAATTGGTTTTCGGTCCACTACAGCCCAACCCCCAGCAAAGGAGGATTCCGCTGTATGGATATAGCCTATTTTTTTTTTTCCGTCTGTATACGCGTTATATATAAAACCAAATACCACGGTTGGTAAAACTAGATACAAAACCGCGGTTGCTTAAAATCCGCGATCTGCAAAATCGCAGTTGGTTAGAGACTGCTGTTTACTCGTACATTACAAAACTCAACCTACCGACTGGCGACCTCTGTGGCCATAAATCACAAGCAAACTGAATCGGACTCCATTTTGGAAATTATTGTTTTCTTCTGTTTTATGTACTTTCCTACAAAATTAGAAGTCGTACCCCCATATAAATATTTCGGTGAACTCAGCCGTCTAAAATCCATAACATAATTCATATTGTCTATTTATTTTAGGTGTTTAAATTATCTTGCAAGTTTCCTGTAAGGAAATCTGGGATTATGTATCTCCCTGGCAATAAGTAAATAAATAAGACTTATCTGTTATGAAAAGGAATTCAATAGCTTCGAAAAATATTACGCATGAAACCCGAAAATGTAGTCTCAGATGAGGAAGCAGTACAGAGTGTAATTACATTATGCACGGACAGTAGAGAAAGATGAGCTCTATACTGAGGGATAAGCCATTGGAATTGCAACTACGCTGAAAGCCAATTTGCCTGACATTTGCTACGCCTGCCTAACTTTCTCTCTGCCAAGTTAAACGTAATTTACTTCTGTCGCTCCGTGTTATCGAGCTGTTCAGACGTATGTATCATCCCGGTGTAACAGAAGAGTTTAACTGAACACGTTTTCAACAGTGAAATAAGAACTTGAAGATAGCGCAAATTTCTTTATTTCATTTAGTGATTAAAATATCCTTCTATTTCACTAAATCTTTACTGCTTTAGAACAATTCATTTCGGCGTGCTCTGGTCAAACGGTTCGTCTACATTTCAATTTTCCACAGTTCTGTGTAACTTTCAGCATAGAATAATTTGGTCCTCAAAACTAAAGTCACATTAGTGTTGATTTAAACAATTTTAATTATTGGATCAGTATCTAAGTTAAGTCAGCAATAAAATATCAGTGTTTGTTTTTATACTACGATTGTTATTGTATAAACATATGAAGAAGGTACTGCCGATTTTGTTACTGTTAATATGTATCATAAACTGCAATACAGGTAAGTTATATCCGAAAGCATTGTCACGTGTTAGTGACTGGGCTCGGGTTTTGGATTTATTGAGCGCTTATAACTCGTAACTACATATAACTGTAACAGTCTCACTGATTTAAACACTATATAGGTCACTGCAAATACAGCACGCCTTAAGTTTACTGTTTGTTTCTCTGTCGTCATTAGTCGCTGCTAGCGAGGGCCAGCAGCAATTACTGGACTGACTGGACTGATTGCTAAATTCCTGCTGGCCCCCGCCAGCGCAGTAATTTCCGGTTCCGAGTCCCACGGAACTCATGATCATATTTTAATATCTGATGGTCGGTCGGTCGGTTAATTGTTGCTCGTCTTCGCCAGGACAGTCGTTCCTGGCTTCAGTCTCCACGAGATCTAAGACCAAAATTTTTATTCTCTCCTAGATCGGTCAATCGGTTAAATTGCGGCTGGCCTTCGCCAGCACAGTCATTCCTGGCTGCAGTCTCCTCGAGATCCATGACTAAGAATTTTGTTTTCTTCTAGACATATTCGTGTTTCGAAATGGGGCCTCCTCTTCGACGAAAGAAGGGTCGGTCTTTCTGTGTGGCGCTACTTGTGTTGCACTGTAGTTTGTGCACGAGTATTTGTATTTTTTTTTTATTTTCATCCGTTTTGCTACATAGTAACATTTGGACACGTCATTCAGTAATATAAGTTAACAAAATAAATCTACATAGTTACAAGCATACTACGAACTATATTGATTGATTTATCCAGGAGTACAACTTAACAAACAAACCTACAAAGTTACAAGGATACTAACAACATTTTACAATCCTAAGCAATATGTATATACTAGTATATCCATGCTATCATGACGTCCAGGTCACTATGGGCTCTGTGCTTTCTTTGGCGCTGCACTACACTAAGTAACATTTATACAACGTATACAGAGGTTTTCTGTCAATGCAGGCTTGTGCAGTAAGTTATGCCTTAACTTATCTAAATACTATGAAACTACAGTTAAGTCTGCTGAACGGTCGTAGGCCTAACTTCCGCGAAGTTTAAGTCTCTTACACGTCTATGTACGGCTTTTTGTCCAGTACATTTGGACGCATAGTTTAGAATTACTTCTATTTGTCCTGCATAATTTAGTTTTGTAGTCGTACACGCAAGGAATTTTGAAAACCAAGTGCAATTCGCGGACTGGTGTGCACCTGTCAAGCTTTGCAGTTGCGCAGAGTAGTCTATTCAGCAGGCGCTGCAGTTTCAATAGGAGAGCGTCCGCCGCATACTCCCAGGCAGGACAGACATAAGTCAAAACTGCCCTAATCGAGGCTTTGTAAACCCTAAGTTTACTATTTGTACTTACACGCCCACTTTTGAACAGGGAATATGTCCTTACGTACGTGCGCAAGGCCTTGGCTACGGTCCTTTCGACATGGTGTCTCCATGTCATCCTCCTCTAGAGGGTCACACCAAGATACGTTATTTACAAAGGGAATGTCTCGACCGTTTGGTTACAATACGTCATCAGGGGCTCTAAAGTCTTCTGGAGAAATATATCGTCCGAGTTTTCCCTTCATTGATCTTCGCATTCCAGCGCTCATAGCACGAATTCACTGCAGTGAGTCCGCGTTTCAGTCAAAAGTCAAAGTCAAAGTTATGTTACTACTAATGGTGAATAGGCCAGTCTGCCTTGGTGTCAAGCTCTCGCTGGGGACAAAGACCAGATTTTTATTACTGTCAGGCAGTTATGGGTTTCTTGATGTGGCGCGCCCTCTCTTGAGGAGAGGACGTGTCTGTCATTTAAAATTGCTGCTGGTCCTCGCCAGCGCAGTCATTCTCGGGTCCGAGTCCCGCGGGACTCATGACTGTATTTTACTGTCTCAGTTTCGAGACTCCCACAACCTGGATAGTCAGGTCCCTGTATTTATTTCCTCCAGGAACAGGGTGGCCCAATTACATCCCCAGGTATTGGGTTATTTTTCGTTGCCTCCTACGACTGACTCGCAGGGCTACGATGGAGGTATTCGAACCCACCTCCACGCGGGATCTACTCTGCATTGCAGTATGGGTCGGTCCTCATTACCTTTCACTTTCATTTCACAAAAAAGAAGTACCACAAGAAACTGACACTCTAAAATCTTCCAAGGGTCTTTGGTTGATTGTGGAAGAATGTCCAGGGAGCATGGCCCAATTTAGTAAGCTGCTACTAATTTAAAAAAATCAAATTTTCTTCATACTCTCCAATAAATTGTACATTAAAAACAATGTTATTTACAGGATTTATTTTGCATGAAAGAATTGTATATTTTAAGTTACATGACCACAGAGCAGGTTCTTTACTTCTGAACATGGCCACAGGTAATTTTTGCTGGATTACCACCAATCTAAATGGACATTTATATTTGTACTAGTAAATTCTAGATCAAATAAAGGGAATGTTTAAACAAAATTTATAGATATCAGTTATAGATTTAATGTTGTTCCTTTTCTAGTTAGAAAGTTGCTGGTACTCAGAAGGGGAGGGCACTAATTTTGATTTTCTGACAGAATAAATATATATACCTTTAAAATATTAATGATGAAACTTTAGTTATTATAATTTAGTAGACATTTTTATTTTTAATATATGTTTTACAAAGAAATAAATACCAGCAGAACATACCTTTTCTCAACATTAAAAAATAAAATGGGTAGTTTTCATGTTTTGAGAAGTAATGCTTTGAGGAAATCATTTAAGTGTTTGTATTTTCACACTTCTTATTTCAGGTCCAAGTCAGTTTGTGGAACTGATAGGGGTGGACATTCCAGAACAAGAAGACATAAACAGAGACGTATCACTAAAATGCCTTTTTGAGCTCCATCTTCCAGCTCTTCTGTATTCTGTCAAGTGGTACAAAGATGGATCAGAGTTTTATCGCTACCTTCCTGGGGAAACTCCACCTGCACAGGCTTTCTCCTTGCCTGGAATTTCTGTTAATGTAAGTTCCTCTGTCTTAAATTTATTTTAATTTCATTTTCCACTGTTTTCTGCAAGGCTTACAGAGAAGGCAGTGCCTGTTAATTACAATACTGTATACATTCTGGAGGTTATGAAGAATGAATTTTTATTATTGAGTCATGTTTAGGGTATGACACTACTCATATATAATACTTTTATACTGAGAGTCTAAAATTATACAAAACATTAGCTAGCCCATTACTTCAGTATACAAATGGAATTTAAATTGAGAGCAGAAAACAAGACAAATATTCTGTATGCCACAGAGTTTAATAAATAATATGATACTTGTTTTGTGTTGTTATTATCTTGACCAAAAAAGAAATGGAAAAAAATTGTAAGAATTCAAAACTTAAACTTTGAATGAAAAAGTTTCTAAGCATGGTTTTGATACATCTATCCTGTAGATGATGATTTGTATGCAGATCATAACCCATGGTCCTATGGGTGACTTGTGAAGGCATACTACGTAGGTTGTGCAGAAAGTCATGAGCAACATTTTTTTGCATGCAACCTGGGAATAGTAGACAAAAGAGAGTATGGTGGTAGGTGGAACCAGCTGTTGTGTCAACCTTGAGTGTCTTGTGACGTCAATAGCTTGCATCACTCCTAACAAAATTGCCGACAATGATATGTTGTTTTGCCAGTGTGCTGTCATTGAATTTCTTGTGAAAGAGGAAATCCCTGCTGCAGAAATTCACCAGAGACTTCAGCATGCTTATGGAAGTGTGTGCATGGGTGCGAGCAGTGTTTGAAGATGGGTGAAATGTTTTAAAGGTGGGAACACCAGCATCGAAGATGAGTCTCAGAGTGGTCATCCTTGAACAGCCTCAACTGAATGCAACAAGGAAAGACTGGACGAGTTCAAGATGACACGCATATGACTGTGGATGCAATAGGCCAAAAACTTGGAATAGGGCACAGTGCAGTATGGAAGATGATTGAAAGCTTGGGCTATAGGTAAATTTGTGCTCGTTGGGTCCTGCGGTTATTGACCGAAGACCACAAATTGGAAGCAATTGCAAAGATGGGGTGGGAAGTTCTTCCACACCCCTCCTATAGCCCTGATCTGGCACCCTCTGACTACCATCTTTTCGGATTTGTGAAGGATCAGCTGCATGGACGTTTTGAGACAAGGGAGGCAATTCAGAAAGCAGTGTGTCAGTGTCTTCAGATGGCTGGAACAGAATTTTACAGAAGGGGAATTTTCAAACTCCCAGAACACTGGAAGAAATGTACAAAGAAGTGGCAATTATGTGTAAAAATAAAGAAAGGTCTGTAGATTGAGGTGGTGTATTTGGTTTGTCAATAATAAAGCATGTTACCTTACAAAAAATTGTTGCTCATGACTTTCAGTATGACAGTCATATATGGACAGCAAACCAGTTTGCTAACTTGTGCCAGAGTAACATCTGAAGATTGATATCAAGAACAATCGGTGCTGTTCATCTTTACTACTCTGCTACCTGATGATGGCCTTTATAAGATATCTACTGTTTCACATTTAATATGCAGTTTTCCAGTTGTTAGCTTGAATGTGATTTTGACAGTGACATGAACAGTGTTAATATTTTTATGAGATATATTCTTAAATTTCACTTGTATCATGGTTTGAAGCAATTGACAAAATAATACAGTGTCTTGTATTCATGCAGCTATCTTTCTCTGGGAATAATTGGAATAAAGTGATGTAATAACAGTAATGTAACATATGAAAATGATCTGTGACATAGTGAAATATTCAATTAACAAGTGACCCAAGATGGTAATATAAACTGCTGATAACTGGCGTTACTACCGCCATAACTGTCACCACTAATCACAATCCATCACCACTCATTATCATTATGTACTACCATACACCACCCTCACCTACCACCACCCAGGAGTGCTAACCACTGCAACATAATGCTTGGCATCATGAAAAAGCATTACTATCATATTCAAGCCACAGAAGCCTTGTTAATTATTTTAAACATGTGACATAACTCATTAAAATAAATAAATAAATAAACTGAGATCTAATAATACTATGCCATGATTACTAACCAGTTTTTCTCCCAGAATTGCTATTTGCCTTTTCATTTATTAAACCATTTTTCAGTTGTCACACTCAGATGAACATGAAGTTCTGCTTCAGTCTCTACAGATTGTTAGCTCTGGGATGTACTTGTGTGAAGTTTCAACAGAGGCACCATTTTTCCACACTGTATCTGGTTATGGAATTCTTACAGTTATTGGTAAGTAATATTCTCCTGGAAAAATTCACTTTTTTTTTAAAGTGTCCATTTCCAAATCAGTTAGTGTTATTTCATTTTCTGGTGGATTGTTATAATAGACACCAATGTTCTTAAGATATGATCTGCCTTAAATTTCATTACTCTGAATTCTTGTTTTGATTGCTCATTCATATTTCTGTGGATAAAATGATTTTAGAGCAATAGGTTGTGATTTTATAGATTGCAAAGGACAGGATAAGATTCAATGGTTATGTTATGTGCTAATGGTGTTAAACATTTGGCTTGTTGAGTAATTACTGTAAATGATCTTGTGATATCCATTATTTTGTTCAGAAAGATCTGGATTAAAGTTTTATAGCAGAAAGTAGAGAACTGTTTGCAGATCTTTATACAAAAACAAAACATGCTAATTGTCTCACAAATCGAGTGACCATATGTGAGTCGAATATTGGTCTTGTGATGACTAGTATGAAGTTCTTCTACATAACCACAGAAAGTTTAAATGATCTTGGATATGATATTCAAAATCCAAATATCCTTCACTTGTTACCTTCATAAGCAGCAAAAAATATTGCTTATGAAATAGCAGTAAGTATCACCACCTTCTCAGAACAGCCAAACTTGTTGTGATGCCCACTCAACATTCTAACACTGGGCAGGGAAAGTTATATCTAACTCCACAGAGCTGAATCCTTAATAAGCCACAAGTTGTGTATTTACTCTAGAATTTCCCAACATTTTATGGAACCTGAAGGTTTATTACTTTGTTCACAACAGCCCTCCACTGGTCTCTATCCTCAGCCACATAAATCCAAGCCATACCACTCCATCCTATCAATCTAAGTTCATTTTAATATTATCCTACCAGATATGTCTACAGGTAGGTCTTATAGTGGTATCTTTCCTTCTGGTTTTACCATCAAAATCCTATGTATTTGTATTAATCTTCTCCCCGTGCATGCTACATTTCCTGCCCATCTCATCCCCCTTTGCTCAATCATTCTGATTATACTTGGCAAATAGTACAAGTTACTAAGCAACTTATTATGCAGTTTTCTCCTACCTTCCATCACTTCATACTCTTCAGTTCAAATATTCTCCTCACCACCCTGTCTTCGAACACCTTCTGTCTATATTCTTCCTTTAATGTCAGACACCATATTTCACACCTATACAAAATCACAGGCAAATCTAATTTTTACATTTTTAGACAGCAGACAAGAAGACAAAAGGTTCTGGACTGAATAGTAGCAAGCATCACACAAATTCAATCTCTTAATTTCCTCCTGAATAAAATTTTGATTTGTTACTGTCTTTTCCAAATATTTGAATCATGCCACATTTTTTAAGGATCTTTATGTCATGATTTTGCCCAACATTCTAGTGACAGGACATGACAGAGGCTTAGTTTTCTCTGTATTTACCTCCAAACAAACCTCCTTACAAGCATCAGTTAAAGTTTGTGTTTTTTCTTTATGGAATCTATGTTATCACCCAGTAGATTCATATCATCAGCATACAACAGCAGCTGATATATCCCATTTAATTTTAGTCCCACCTGGTTTTACTAGACCTTCCTAATGTCATATTATAAAGTAAAGATGAAAAAGCAGTGGCACTAAAGCATTTTCTTGTAATCTTGTATTTAAGCATCCTGTTGCATTGCTATACAGTATTCAACCTTGTTTATGTACAATTTTCCATCAATAATACAACTATTTATTTCTTCATTCACATTTGCTTTCGCTATTAACACAACATGTTTGCTAACCGTCTTACAGTGCACACAATTTCACCTTTCTCTTCACTTTTACACTACATGTTTCGGCACTAATGTGCCATCTTCAGGTGTGTCTCTATCCATGTCAAACTACTGTACTGCATGCCATCAGTTCTCCATCATAAAATGACTAAAATGCGTATTCGTCATGTATAACAACAAATTCTAAATACTAAAACATATTAAACACAGGACATGCATATGGTACAATAGAAAATACTATGGATATCATAGCAACAAATAAAAAAGGCCAATATTTAAACACATTAGAAAACTATCATATATACAGAACAACAAAGAAAAACACCCATATGAATATAAATAAAGAAATATATAACCCAATATTTCACGAATTACGCACTATTTACACAGAACAACATAACAACACTCCACCACCTACCCCCACAACATCATAACTCAATCAAAATCATCAAAATGAAGAGAGCACACACGCACACATATCCAGCAGTGCAACACATGCAGTCACAAGAGAAGGACACAACACAGAGCACAGTGAGTATTAAAAATTATAAAACCATATGTAACAGATAGCAGTCAGAATGTGGTATTAATGAGTAACAATTTCACGTTGCAGGTATACACATGAATGTAGGAACCGTGCTCCCATAGAGGAGAATTGGCGTGACTCGCGTATTTGAGATACGACGTATGGATGATGAATCCTGAAAGGTTT